ACGGGATCCACGCTTGTTGTCTAAATCTATGGGTGACAACTATCTAAGAGCTACTACTAAATGGGGGTGAACGGAAAGAACTGACTCGATAGGACATTGTCGTCCTATGCCTACGTATTCCCTCGTGCAATGGAAAAGTCAGAGTCAACATAGTTCGGAAAACTACGGGTGATGGGGGGAAGGTTGCTCGCTAAGAAATCGTCGTCTTGTGCCTGCGTATCCTCGTCTAGTACGAGAAATCAGATCAAACGTAGTTCGGGATGACACGACCACTAGTTGGTTCAAGTGTTTTAACTAAGTAGGGTTAAATCTTCATTCTAGCAGTTATGGACAATGCCTGTTTGCAGTAGAACCAAGACTTAACACACTCTTTCTGAAAATGATTTGTAAATAATCCCGAAGGATAAAAAGGTTTCATCTCTTTGTTTGTGTTTTTTATGAGAAGAAGTGAATTGAGTTAGATTTGAAACTCATGTTGCACTAAAGACTATGACTTGAGAGTGAATGCGTCGCATATCGCCCAAAGGGCATACACTAAACACTCTAGAAAGTGTGAGAGGAGGCCCCCCACCTATCATTCCTCAAGTACTTAAGGCTCGTAGCATAAAACAAGTGTTAACCTTTATTAAGTGTCTTATGAAGTAATGAGATGAGAAGAGAAGACACAAGACTCTAAGGGGAACTGAGAACCATAATGTTGTCATGCAAAGTGGTCCTAAAGTTGGGATTGAAAAGGGAAACGCTATCCTAATGTTATCATGTAAAGGATTGAACACCTAATATCTCTCTTACTCCCATCTTAAACAGAGGGACTAGGAATCCTAAGGGATCATGGGAAAAGACCAAGTAAACACATAGCAATTCAATCACAGATGAACAAAGAAAATGAGATATGAAGGTGACTTGAACAAGTCAATGCAATTAGAGATGCAAACATGAAATACAAGTATGCAAAGATGCAACAAAGACTCAACAACAAGATAAGACTCAAACACAAGAAAATGACTTAAACAAAACCACAAGAAGAGATGAGATGAAATGGGAGAGGTGAAACTCCTACCACCATCAAACATCAATCATCAAGAAGAAAGTCAAACTTAAAACAAAAACGAAGAGTCAAGATCAAAGAAATGATGGGAGGAAAAGGATAGGGCAGCAACCACATTAAGGTTATCTCAACCAACATTCGTCTTTGATCATACAAAAAAGAAGCAAGCAAACAAATGCAAGAAGAGGCCAATTGTCCAAGACAAACTCAAAGTGCAAATATGGACACCAAATCATCTTGAACCAATGGTAAACCATATGGGGCAGAAGTAAAACATCAAGATAAAACCTTCAAATCAAGTTTGGGAACAAAAGGTAAGCTCAAACAAGATCAAGGCAAGTGAAAGAAACAAGGTTTCAACACAAACTCAACACCCAAAATAAGTGGAGAAGCGTGATCCCAGAGTAACTTGCCAGAAATGTATGTATGAACATGTATGTATGAGCACCTACAAAAGTATGAACACCTCCAAAAGTGACTTAATTTGCAAGGCTCGCCAAAAATAGAAGGAATGCTCAATAAATCTAAAATAAAATCTCAAACCAAGATTAATCAATAAAAAATCATCAAGCAAGATCTCATGGACAAATTCAACTCAAGGCATCACCAAACAATTCTAAGAATGTATGGTGTTTCACTTTATCGAGTACATGTCGAGGCTCAACAAAATTCCAATCAAAACCAAATGGAAATTGATCATTGGCCACTCAAAATCACCCTAAAAAATGCTTCAACCCCTCACCTAAATGAGGGAGAAACAATGGTCATTGGGGATTAGAAATTAGGGTTCAAATGGGCAAGATCAAATAAGATAGGAACCATAAAACACCTCAAATCTTTAATTCCAAATAAAATAATAAAAAAAATGGTAAATAAAAAAAATGGAAAATTAAATAACATCTTGAAATGTTAGAAAAATATTTTTTTAGAATTTTTTAATAACCAGAACTATTTTTAAACAAATAAAATGAAAACAACAATTAAAAAGAAATTAAAATAAGACAAAACAAGGTGGGGGTGAAAGTAGCAAAACCATTTGAACTGAACACAAGGCAATGCGCGCTTGGGCCTGAAATCAGGAGGGCGTGGATAGCATTTAGACAAGGCCCAAAGACCAAAGGACTCGGAATTAATGAAACTCTGCGTTTCATTAATCCTATGTGGAGTCAAACTAACACGCGGGCACGGTCAAGCAAATCAAAACATGACAAATCACATGGTCAAACTTTCAACCAAGGCCAGCTCAGCTTTGAACATGGAATGAACTAGACACCGGAGCTAGGGCTCCGGTCGTCTTCTCCGGCTAGCTCGCCAGAGCTCAGGGTTCCAAATCTCAATAAAAATGGCAAACTCTTGTACCATTCAAAAGCTCTCATCACCGGCAATATGAATCCAACATTTGATTTGCAAAAAGGTCCATGAATAGAGAGAAAATAGGCCATGATTTTCAAA